AACGTGCTCGCGACGAGAGACCCCGTCGCGAAACCTCGAATCTTCCGGTCGATCGGAACTAATTCAGAAAAATCCCCGATTATTTATGTCGCGAACTTTCGCAGTAAGTTGCAAAGCTGAGTCAGCTTCCACCTCCTCCGCCCCTCCCTCCCTCCCTCCCTCCCTCTCTTTACATCGGCTAAGGCGTTTTAAGTATGCACTGTCGCCGCCGCCGTCCAAGAAGATCTAAGTTCACCATGGTGCCGGCTGCCTGCGGGGGCTACGGAGTCATTAAAGCGATCAACTTTTCAAAGGCCCCCGCGAACACCGCCCGGCCATTATGGAGAACGTATAACAGACATAGAATTTTAATACTGCTGGAGAAAGAAGAGCGAGAAGAATTGGACGAGGAAAGAGAAGAGGAGAAGAAGTCGATCGCGTTTTTACACGTTTCACCCGTTCGGTCGCGTGAAACTCCCATTGGGCGCCGTAAAATCATTAGGATTAATCAAGTTTCAGTGAAACTAGCCGAATATCGAACTTTTCGGCGGGAATATTGAAAATTCCCCGTAACGTGTGGAACTTTGTCAATTCGCATAACTCGCCGAAAAGTGCGACGATTTTTTCACAGGGGCTAAACTTCTTTTTCTTGCGTTCTATCGCGAGAACGCGAGATTATTTCGGATATCCGAATATCATCCCGGGGTGGAATCAAGAGAAATGGAACAACTCGATAATAATTATTTAAAATTAAAGTGGGAACGCGGAGAAAGGAAATGGTTGTGAAAATAAAACGGCATCACGAATTTACGAAATGTTGACACGACCGGATGCGACGAATGTTTCGCGATGGCTTCATTTATTCAGACTGGCAATTAACGCCAAGCGAACTTGATTATTTATCCAGCAGGACGGAGAAAGATAAGTCTTCTTGCCACTTTGCATCGTGTGAATGAACTATGAACGGGAGGAGTTCGATTCAGGAAGTCCGGTTCCGCCTTCGTTCTATCTCGAACTCGCACTAATAGTGCCTAACTCAATTCCGTGAGGTCGAAGGTTGGACACGCAAGTTGGCGAACTTGTAACTCGACTTTCGAGAGATCCAACTCTCTATTGGCGCGAGATGGGGGGGGGCTATATATCGCGAATGTTTAAGTAAAAATTACCTTGTCATCGCGGCAAGATGAACCGTGAGAATCGTGTTCTTATTCTACATGGAAGATACTTGGATAATTTACGTAAAAATACCAACATTTTTATCAATACAAAACTGCGTGCGTTTCTTACTGGATTAAATTGGTACCATATTTAATTTTTTTCATTCGTTAATCTTTTCATTTGTTAGCCAGTAAATTTTTTTATTTAGATTTTAACTAGATTGTACAATTAAATTTGAAACATTTTATATATACATATACATATATATATATAATATTAAAACACCGTTAATAATCAATATATTAAATTTTAATTTATTTTTAATTTTGCGAACGAAGGTTTGTAATAATTATTTAAAAGAGAAAACAGTTTCTGAATCAGACAAGTGCGTTTAATGTTAAATTTATAGGTCAGAGGATAAAGGGCCAGGTAATTTAAACACTCAAAAAATCGCAGACGCTTTAACGATGGCTTTCGCAATCTAAACACGATAATGAACCTTGCGCACGTTTCCAAGACGGCCGGCACTTACTAGCGAGGGACTTGAGGGATCCTTCTTTTTTCTGCGGACGATAGTACCGCCTCGGGGAGCTCAATAGAGGGTACAAGGGCCGTCGGTTTCCTTTGCCCTGGTTTGCCGCACGAAGAACACCAAGCAGCTAACTCGATTTCGGCAATTTGCGGACTCGCGAGAGCATTCAACTCTTACGAGCACTCGATCGCATTTGTAGATAGTAGGCCGCAGACAGATTATTCTCCATGCTCAGAAGCCATAGACTGCTGAACAATCGAAAAAAGACGGATGAAAGATTGAAAGTTGAATTTTGACAGATTAAATCGTAAATTTAAGACTCGGAGGTCGGAGAGGTCTCTCCCGTGTAGAAATAACGCGAAAGCATATTCGAAGCTTTCCGACTACCGAGCTTAATTTCAATAAACTCGTTCTCACCTCGTATGGATATTGACGCCCTAGAAATAGAGCGAGTATAAGTAAAATAAGATGAAAAAGAGCCAGTGGCTTCCGAATTTAGTCGTTCGGCGGCTATTATAACATAATATCGCTGACGAGATAGCTCGTCGTTAAATAGCACATCATTGAACGTTGCGTAGTATATCGGCTCTTTGGAAAGACAAGAATCGACGTTTCACGTTTGTCAAAGTGCAAAGTGATATTAACGTAAAGCTTCTCCGCGATGCTGGGTTATTTCCGCTGTCCGCGCTTTGCGATCGACCGACCTCATGAATTGTATATACGCGAGTTGGCAGGATACATTCGTCAATTTCATTTTTTCGCTTCCTCTCAATATTTTACGAAATTCACAGCGACGTTCAACCTTTCGTCCCACGTTACGCTGGAAGGTCTCGTCGCGCGTTTTTAGCGCGGAGAGACCTGCTCACATTCATCTCGTCCTTGCCGCAGCGCGTGATTGCACGGCGAATCTCGCGAAACGCGGAAAATAGACGCGGTCTATATAAGCGCAATACACATCCGCATCCGATCGGATCCATTTATCCGATTGTCGAGGAGCGAGCGGCAGGAAGCGATTCAATTCGGAAGATATAATTTTAGATGGAGGAATCGCACGCGTATGTATACATACACCGCCCCGCCTTCACATACGACACTTCCGCTCGCCGATCAGCGATAATTCAACCTTTGCACATTAAGGAACGAGGCGAGCACGTCAGATTTACGTCACACGCCCGCGATCGCGAGCGGAAAGCGACCGCCTTCGAGAGACGAGAAATAGCCCCTCGCGGGGAGTAAGTTTTGAATTAATAACCACGCCGATGTCTCGCGCGCGCGCGACACGTAGGTAGTTCCGACAGATAAGGATAACGGGGCGATCGGGAGAAATAGAACTCCGATATGTTAATAGGACGATATTTAAATACTACGCGCGTTGCTCGTAGCGCACGGAGCGTCCCTAAAGATCGCTTTTTAACGACAGATTCCGTGGATTCTCTCTCTTTTTCTAATGGACATTCCGAAATTAATGTCTACGTATAGACGCGCATTAAACGCGAGATTACCGAAGAACGAGCGCTGTTGGCGCGCGAGGTGTCCCACATTTTATATACCTCCATTTCACGCGTTATTTAGGTGTGACCCTGGTTTTCGGATGGGCCCTGTTCGGGTACGCGCGAGTGTGCGCGCGTTCTCTTCTTTATCGACGAACGCGTCAAAGCAAAACCGGTCGCTCTCTAAAATGACGTTTTCCCCTCAGCGTTTATCATAAAAGTTTGACTTTCGCGTTCCCCCGCCGGTGTGGAAAATCGAATTCTCTGCGATTACCACCGCTTTCAACCCCCGCCGCGCGCGCGCGCGTGTGTGTGTGTGTGTGTGTGTGTGTGCGTGCGTAGCATCCAGTGGGAGATCACAGGACGTTATGCACGCGGGCGAGTGGCAGTGATAGCGAGATAGTTTGCGGAGATCACAGCGCGCCATTTGCGCCCGTTAACGCGATACGGCTGAACCGGAGAGCCGGTGGCAAATTCGCCTCGCAAACCACCAGGACACGGACACCAGCGTCGGGACCGGAAACCGTTTGCGGCAGGCGACGACGCGACGGCGACGGCGACGGCGACGACGACACACGAGCCGTTGCGAGAGTACGCGCAGCCACTCGGACGAGCTAACTCGAGGTCGAGGGGATTAAATCGTTGGCAGCCGCGATTATGTCGTATATTGGTTACACGCCTGCCGTCTATCCGGTGTCTTGATTAATCTCCTGCATAGCTGCGCGCAAGAGGCGCGAAAGGAGGGATTCTCCGAACGCTCGATTCTCACTAATAATTACGCGCTGTGGAAAACCACCCGAGTTTCTCGGACAAGCATTTTTACACGCATTTTAAGCGCGATAACGAGTATTAATCCGTCTGAAAGAAAAGAAAAAGGACAAAATTTACTCGCGGCAAGATTGTTCCTTATTATCCCGCCGCCCGACGAAGAAGCGCCCTGTCAATTTAGGGATTAACTCTCGCGACATCCTCGTTTTCGCTGACCGAGTCAGCGTTTCCAGGAGCCTGGAACTCGCCCGGCTCGGGCAAGGGAGAGAGAGAGAGAGAGAGAGAGAGAGAGAGAGAGAGAGAGAGCCTTTATTGGCGAGGCAGGAACGAGTTAATCGTCGGCCGGAAAACACGGAGAGCCGAAAGAGTATTAAGATTCTCGCTGGGCGCTGGGGCTCGTGCCAGCCGTCCCCGGACTTCCTTCTCGCACCTTTTTCCCTCTGCCCGCTAATTGTTTTCCAGCGTTTTCTGCCGTAAACAAGTCGCCGCTCCTAAGGAGCCCCGTAAAGCGACCGTGAGAACGCAAACGTCGACTGGCTCGTCGGCTAACGAGCTGGCCTATTTCTAGCTGAAGCTCCCGACTAATTATTATTCAACGTCGTGAGCCGCGAGGAAAATACGCGGGCGATTTTTATCTCTGAACGATGACGCTTATAATTTATAGGCATAGCATCGAGGATTAGAATTAGGTACTCTACTAGGACGATCGATCGAGCGCGTTGCGGTCTAATTTCCAACAACGCTCAACCTGAACCGTTCATCGTGAAAAGTGTAAAAATTTTGCTTCTGGATTCGTTTCGCTAACGAATCCAGTAACGAGCTCACCTGCTAAATTAACTGTCAACTAAAAATCAATCGACACGGCTTCATCGGCTTTTGATGCTAGCTGCTAAATGTATCTTCCGATACACATCGTATGTTTCCCAAAAGAATATAAACGATCAGCCTGAATACGATGCGCCGTTTGAAGGCGATTCTGGGTAAAAAGTACATCCTCGTTCGTCCTTTCCTTTTTCCTTTGCATCGCGTCGTTCCTCCTCTTTTAAACTCGCTTCTTTCTTACTTCTCGATAG